GGTGGTGTTAGTCGTAGGCAGTAATCCCCTGTGCCAGAGGAGAAGCCCAGCAGCTGCAGAGCAGAGGCTGCACCATCCCAGTGCTGTGGAACACAGTGTTGTTTAAATATTCCATTAATTTTCGCAGCGGGAGCGTCTGAAGCGATGGCTGGGGGCTCGTGCAGCAGCGCAGTGTTGATGAAGGGCTGGAGCAGAACTGGGGTTGAAACATCACAGTATTTTGGTGTCCTGTATGCCCAGGGTCCAGGACACACCTCTCGCTGGGGTGGGTGCTGTGGCTGACTCCTCCAACACTGCTCCCAAATAATGGTGAGGAGAGCGTGCACACGTGGGTGATTCCTGCAGAGCGGCTGTTCCTGGTACCCCAGTGGTCTGTCTGGCCTTAAATTGCAACAGTCCTTCGTGCCAGAGGTTTTGGCATTTGTTTTTGGCTGTAATTTGTCTCCCAGCTGCCTCCCTCCCCGTCTCCCGTGTTCCCTGTGTGCTGCCAGTTGAGGTTGTAACTCTGCAGGGATGAGCAAGGGCACGGCTGTGTTAATCCTGGCCTCCTGTATCCATTAAACAAGCAGTTTAGTTTTAAATACCACATCTTGGATGTGGCAGGCAGCAAAAGCAGGCAGCCCAGCTATTTCTGGTAGGAGCTTGTCATGCTGCTGGTGTCTCCTTTTCTTTTTTAAATGAACATGTTGAACCTGTAGCTGGAGGAAGCTGGAGCCCAGCAAGGCAGGAGAAGGTGATAATACAGTATAATCCTAAATAACATGCTTTGTACGCTGACACTGCACTGCTGGGATACCTGGGGGGATCTGACCTAGGGAATCTTGTTTTGGAAAGCTGTGGTGCCAATGTGTTGGGAAATTGGAGAAGCCACAAATGGAACCCTCTTGTTCTTCATGGCCGTGTGTCCTTTGGTGAGTGGCATTTGCTGGATCTGCCTTGTTGTGCTTAATAATCACTGCAGACCACTCGAGTTCCTTATTAATGTGCCATAACTTATCCTGCAGTGCAGGGGGAACCTTCTGTCTTTTTAAAAAGTCAGCCAGAGACCACTACCTCAGCTGCCTCTCAGCCTATTAAGTGATTAATAGGTGTTCCCAGAAGCCTTAATAAGTGGCCAAGTGGGCTGCTGTGGCAGAAGGTAGGACAAGACTTCAGGCTGATTTTAATTAAAGCTCCCTTAATGCTGTTGCTTGAGAAATTAAGGAAGTAGTGTTTCTGTGTACATCTGGCAGATCTCTGGGCTGAGTGAAGGCTCCTTGTGTTGAAGAGCTGTGTGCTTTGCTGTCTGAAACAAGTAATTTAGAGTTATAGGTGCTGGTATCATAACCAAGATAATCTAGAGATAAGATTGGTTTATTTACTGAGGTGTATTTTCATCTTTGATTAAATTGCTCTAGGAATTGTGTCTAAGTGAGCTTTTAAGAGCTCCTTTTGGTACTGCTACACAATACAGAGTTACAGGAAAAGGTGTTGTGGAGACCCCAAATGCAAAGTAACCTGGGAAGATCAAAAACTAAACCCTGAAAGAGGCTGCTGCAGGAGCCTTTTGGTGAAAGAGATCTTTAAATTCCCATACAGCTTCTTGTTGGCAGGACTGTTGTCTTGGAACAGTTGAACTGCTTGCCCCCATCTCTGGATCAGGGATGGATGCTGTTGGAAAACTGGTGGCATGTGATCGTCAACCAGGCACCTCATGAATCACAGTGAAGGGCTTGGATCCACATCACCTGGGAGACTGGTTCAGATATGGACTGGGACCACATTTTCACCACACTGTGTTTTGGCAATCCCCATTTCTGGTATTTTCTGCCCTGTGCTGTGTAGATTTTCCATCCCAGCTGGTCTAACCTTTCCAAAGCTGCTTTTGTTCACATGGGCTTTTTAAGCAGGAAAAATTCTTAATTTGGCCTTAAACAATCTGTGCTGGCATTAATAAGAGTCAGAACACGCTGCAGAAGGAGAGGAGTGTCACTTTTTATAGTATGAACCACAAGACTATTCTTTGTGCTTACGTTTTCACCCGAGGGCTTTATTTCAGAGAAGATTTTGTTGTTGGTGTTGGTGGTGAGAGATGCTGCCCTGCTTTCCCCTCGTGCTAATGCAGCTGCTTGTGTGGTCAGGCAATCAAACAGATTGGGGAACTGATTCCATGAAAAACCAACTTAAAGGTAAAGAGAAAATCAGTTTCTGAGCCAGTATTTGCGGCATCGCAGCATAAAAATGGCTGTGCTGGGATGGACTGGTGAGCACAGGGCGTGCAGGGATGGGGTGGGATCGCTGCCGTGGGGGACAGCATTGGCTTTTGGCAGCTCCACGTTGTGGCTGTAGCTGGAGGGCTCAGGAAATCACATTGCTGGTTTCTGTCCTACTTTTCAACAGCTTCAGAGCATCCATTGAACATTGGCCCTCGGGCAAACTTCCATTTTGGTGTCAGATGGCAAAGTACACACAGCAGCTCTCAGGGGCTGCTCTTGTCTCCCTTGCATGGAAATGGTCCTAAAACTGAGCCCAGAGTGTGGATTTAGGGAGCTAAACCACAGTTCTGGGGTGTAACAGAAGCTGTGTGGTTAGTTGTGTTTCCCAGCTCATATAACCAAACCCTTGGCTGGTGGTACAGATTTAGTTGGGAGAAAAACTTGTACACAAGTGAAAATCAGCTTTTTTTTCCCATCCTATTTCTGACCTTTCTAGGCTGTATTTCTTTCCTTAGCTATATGACTCTGTGAGTATTTTCTGGATCTTGTGCTTTGTGAACATTTAGGAAATTCCAAGGACTTTGTCATCTTGCACTGGCAGCCACTTGTGTTCTGGGAGAGTTTTCAGCCCAAGTGTTTTGGTGGTCAGGGCTGGGACAAACAAGGAATACTCTTGCTCTGCAGGTAGTGTGGAGGTTGTGGTAAAAATGGGTAGGATGGATGGAAATCAGCCTGTCCTGCATTTTACAGACATCCTGGGGTTGCATCGTGTGGGCACACTGGGTGTGGAGATGGTGGCACTTAATCACCTCATGTGGTAGCAGTAACTGACCTGTTCCTTAAGTTTTCAACCCAATTTTCATTTTATATAGACACTTGGATTTACAGAAGGGTGTTCTTTTTTTTTATTTTTCTATCTGTCAAGTCCGGCTTATGATAGTGACCATGTATTGTGTGCACAGATATTGCTGTCAGACCCACTGATTTTCCCTTTGCCTATTCAAAACTCTGCTTGGTGTTCTCATACCAGTTTGGTTACTCAATTAATGATTGGTTCTCTTTTCTTTCTCCAGAATCCAGCGACTATTACTCGAATACTGCTTAGCCATTTCAACTGGGATAAGGAGAAGCTGATGGAGAGGTAAGCAGCCACCTTGTGCTTCAGACCAGCAAGAAATGTTTGTTCCTGGGTTAATGTGAGGCTGGAGGGATGCACGGTGTGTGTGGCAGGAGAATCTCTTGTATAAGCTCTAAATATTCCCCCTTTCTAAATGTTCCTCCTTGTCTAAATATTATTAATCCCTATTAGAGTTAGAAGTCGTGGAAGTTGCCCATTGGAAAGAGGGATTTCCAGTTTGAGCACATACAGGCACAGCATTTGGACAGGCTCTGGAAAAAAGCAAGCAGGAACAGGTTCCTGTTATCTTGCAAGTGTTTTGGGTTTGGGTTTCACTGCTCTTGCCTGTCATGCTGGCATGTGTATTCCTGACATGTTTATTTACTAGTCTGGCCAAGACGAAATTGCTTCTGACTGATAATGTTCCTGCCTTGTCTTCATCTCTGCAGCTCTCAGGTTTTCTTCAGTGTGTGTGTAACTAATAGCTTGAATTTTGCCTCTCCCTCCCCCTCAGAGCAGAGTGTTTTATGCTTATTTCTCATCTTTGATTCCCATTTGGGGAATGTTGCTGGTAAAAGTACTTTTTATAGTTTGTTGTTGCACAGTGGAGGCCAAATCCAGCTGCACTGGGTTTTTTTCAATGCCAGTATTGGTGTTGAAGAGAGTTAAGGGAGCTGGAGAAATCAGTTTACTTCAGAAGCTGGGGGGAGAATTAATGTGGACCAGAAGGAGCAGAAAAGACTGTAAAGGGTCTTACTGGGTGTTATGGTCTTTGCTCCTCTTAACAAGTGTTAAGTGGCCAGTGAGTGGGTAGTGAGGGCAGAAGGACTCAGGGCCTGGTTGGATTGTTTGTTTGACTTTCTCTTAATTCCCATTTCCTTTGCCTGATGATCAGGGAATGGGAAGATGGCAGCTCTGTGGTTGCAAACCAGGAGCAATTGGTGGTGGGATGAATGATAAATGTCACTTATCTCAGGCCCTGTAGTTTGGTGCTCTGTCACCCAGGGAAGGAGGAGCAACAGGTTTTCAGACTGTTAGTAATTATTTTGGAGTATAAATATTTCTGCTATCCTGGGCTAATGGATTTAGGACACCTTTAGCCCCCTTTGTAGAACATTTTCAGTGATGGTGCTCAGGTATCTCTTCTGTTTTGTTTAACCTAGATTTTTTCTTTTTCTGAAGTGATTATGTTTTTTTACAGCTTTCTAGTCCTTGCTTTATTTTCCTGAGTTTGACGTCTGAGTTTATGTTGGAAGTCTGAAACCTTTGTGTTACAAATATAGCCACTATTTAACTCTGGCTGCAGCTGTTAAACATTCTGATTTAGTTCCTGCTCTGCAATGTGTGTCCACTTCTTTGTTTGAGTTTCTTGGGCTGGTTCTCTTGGTCAGGCTAAAGTTCACCCTCCTTGGCTGCCTCCATCTCCCTGTGAGATGCCTCTCCACGAGTGTAACTGAAATGTCATCCCTTTATTCAGTAGGTTTTGTCCCTTCTCATTGAAAGCTTGTTTAAGGCTGCCATCAATTTAAAAAATAAAAATTAGGCTGTGTTTTTTTTTTCAAAGGAAGGTCTCAGCCGGTTCCATGTGAGCTGCTTTTGTTAAAGCTTTTACAGTTTTCAATAAAACACTTTAAGTACCCATTAATAGTTACAAATCCCCAGGTAAACATACTCATTAAAATACTTACCTTAATTCTATAGGATTACCCCTGTGAATAATGTAATGCATGACCCTTGCTTATGCAGAGGTGTTGCACACTGGTCAGAGTTTTGGTGCTCATTGCTGTCCTGTTGTGTTAGAAAAACACTAAAAGGTGATCTCCGGAGTACCTGGTGTTGCCTTCTGTCACTTCTTCACCAAATAACTTCCATGAAATCCTTTGGAGTGCTCAGCTGTGTTAAAGCTCATAGTGCTCAGGAGGGTTTTGTGATTGCTGTGGTGATAGGTGAAGTTTAAGGTGGTGGTGGGGAACCCCCAAAACATGCATTTTACTCAAAAGTCCCTGTTGTTGAGTGGTGTGTGTTTACAGTACCATGTCAGTGCCTGTTTTACCTTAGCTCACGGTGAGTCAGCACAACCTCACAGCAGCCTTATCAAACCTGGCCTGGAGTAAAGCACACAAACAAAGTGGCTTCTTTTTGGATAAGTGGTGAGCTCTGAGCTCGTGACATGAAAATTTCCATGTTTTCAACCACTTTTTTTTTTTTATTTTTTAGCCTGGTTACACGTATTTTTAATGAGCAGGTTGTTATTGTCTGGGCCAGCTTTGTCATGGAATAATTGCACGGTGGTGGTGAGAGGGCAGATGTGTTACAGGCCCACTTACCATGGAGTAACAGCCACAATTAAAAACTGCCCTGTCCCACTGGTGAAACACTAATTATTTGTGTTGGAAAGCAAGACTGGGGGGTTGGAGTAGATTTGTTTGTAGGATGGAAGTGGGTAGTGGAAGAAGTACTCAAGTTCAGCCTCTGATATGCTGCATGTTTTTTGGAGAAGAAAGATGTCAAATATTTTGACAGTTTGCCTCATGGGCTTGATTCCCACAGACAGGAGAGCAGCAGGTGCAGAATGATCAGGGAACCTCAGGTGGAGCCTGAAGGAGGTGCTTCAGCTTTGAACTTCATCTTGATTACCTTCCAATTTTACTGTGGCCCATGGTGTCCATCCCTCCTGAGGGGAGTTTTGGGGATGGACCTCCTCATAATAAAGAGACTAAAATGCAGCTTTCCTGCTTTATGTGCCTTCCCTGGTCATTTTGTTGAAAGCCAAGTGTCTCAGCGTGTACCCAAGGCCTGATTTCATCCCTGGAGGCACAGGCAGAGCAACAGCCCCTTACAGGTGCTTATCTTGGTGGGCAACATCCCTGTTCCCTCTGAGCAGTGGAGGGATGCCAGGATGGCCCAGACTGACTCTTCTCCAGGTATCTGGTGCTTTCCTTGGGGCAGAAAAGTCCTTTACACTAGTCAGCAGAGGCTGAACAGGTGAAAAATGGTGTATGGCAGGAGTTTAGATGTGGAGATATCTTTTACTGTGAGTGTTCTGATGCTCTGACACTCACAAATGCTCTTTCACGGAAGTAAATATCCCAAAGTGTGTACTAGAAGCATTTTTTTGCAGTGAAAAGGCTTTTTATCTTTGATATTCCCGTGGATAGGATTTGATTATGTCTAGAAAACAGCGATTAGGCAGTTACAGACAGCAGGAGGAAATTCTGAGAAGATAAAGGAGCTGACAGCTTGATCCCTCTGCCAAAAAGACTTGAGACTGTTATGGATTTGGTCTTGGTAAGCAGAAGGACTTGAAAATAATTCACTGGTTTGTCCATGAATTTTAAAATAGCAGAAACCCCAACTTAGTGATGAAGAGAATGCATTTTGAAGAATTAACATAACAAATCCTCATGTATCAGAAGGGCTGGATTTACTCAGTATCTGCATTGTGAAGGGAGAGCAGGGCAGAGGATTTAAAAGGCTGTTAAAGGTGCTGTGCTTCTCCCTAGGATGAAAATAAGGATGAAGGTACAAAGAACCAACCCTTTAACAGAGGGAACTTGAGGAAAAATCAAAATCCTTGGAGATCCTAGATGGAACCTGTTAGTAAATCCCTTATCAGTTAATTTTGGGATGAATGTTGGCGTTAATTAATTTGCTTGGCACAAATCTCTTGGGAGGCATTTGGTTCAGAGGAGGATCCAGGGAAAAATCCAGACAGCTGGGAGGATCCCGGGAATGGGAGTGGTACAAAGTGTCATGGTAGGTCCCATCAACACAGAGATGGAAAAGAATCTGGGGTTTCCAGTGGAGATTAAAATGGAGCCGCCGACACGGAGGAGCTCTGGAGAAAGGTAGACATGGTTTGGGGTGCACTGGGTGAGATCTGCAGGAGAAAGACAGGTGAAATTGGAGGAATTGTGGTCAGATCTTGACTGGCATTGCATTAGTTTTGGCTCCTTGGGCTCAAGGAGGTTGAATGGAAATGGAAGTTGGTGTTTGAGAAGGTTTGCTGGGCCAGGGAAGGGGAGGAATGTCAGCGAGGAGCTCATCTGCTGTGGCAGGGAAGGGTTAGAGCTGCTCCCTGGGAATCCTTGGAGCAAAGAGCACGGGAGGGGCAAAGGGAGATCTGCCTACACGGATAACCTGTAGTGGTCCTGGAGCAAGTGGGAAAAAGGGATGGTGATTGGAATCAGGATTTGTTCCTAACCACTGAAGGAACTGAAGTCTTTCCACCGAGCCCTCGGTGTGTTTGCATAAGGAGTGGTGGAGCAGCTGGAGAGCTTTATTCCAGAGTATCCACTGGAGTTGTGTGTTTTCAGGGAGATCCAGGTTTTCTTCTGCCTTTCCTAGGGTTGTTGTGGCCCAGTGACAGCACGATTTTGAGTCTGAGACACCACGTGCAAATAGTTGTGGAAATTACTTGCTCAGGAAGAGAATGCATGAAAAGAAAACAGGATGGGGAAGGAGGAATACTTTCCATAGGTATTCAGAAGGTGTGAGTAATTCCAGATGAAAAAAGTCAAGTTCCTGACATGGATATTCATCCTTAAAGACCAGCCCTCCATTACAAATACCTCTGGTATTTCCATAAGCATTTAGCTGGCCGTGAGTGCCAGGATTCAAGGTGCATCATTTGTCTTCAAAACATTTCCTTGCAAACCTTGCAAAGCCCCCAGCTGTGTCTGCTCTTCCCAAATGGAGCATGTCCTGCACTGGTCCTGCTGCCTGGAAGAGCAGTTGGAAGTTGAAGCAGTCGGAAACCTTTTGTGGAGTTAATATTTATCCACGACTCTTAATGAACAAATACACCCTGTCATGGGGCTGCACTGAATTTACTTGCTAAAATTTTCTAAATATACAGTTTTATATATCTATATTTAAATATAATATATAGATTTCTGAGTATAATCCTCAAGGCAAACACAATAACTTGGTTGAGTTAAATCCCTTGAGCTAACGCTGAAGAACAGCGGCAAAGCCTCGTGGATGCTGCGATGCCAGAACTCACCACTCCCTCCCAAATTCAGTGTCCTGAAATTTAAGATCTAAAATATGTGAGCTGCATCGAGAAACATATGAAACAGCAGGAAAATTAATATCTTTTAATTGTAAGTCAGGTCTTGTTGGTGGGTAGTGCTGTGAGGGAGCTGGGGAATGACTGACTGGGTTTGACTGAGGGATGTGTGTGCAGGTGATGGAGCTGGTTCATTGTCTGATTTAATGAGTTCTTTGCAGCTGCTGCAGCTGGAGAAAGATGTGAAAGATCCAGGGAAGAGGCTGAGCTGCCTAACAACAATTCTTTCCAATCTGGTCCTCCTCCCCAGCTTGAGGAGCTTTTTATAAGCCTTTAAAGCAAACCAGTATCTTTTCCCTTAAGGGAATAGGAAGTAGAAAGAAAGTGGTCTTTTCTCTCCCCCCCAACCAATTTTGCATCCTCTTTTCCACAAGGTACCTAATCTTTGGAAGCATTGTAAACCTGAAATTGTATTTTTTAGGAGGTTGTTAAAATACCTCAGATTGACTGGAGACAAAAGATACTCAAATGGCTGATGATTAGAATATTAGGAAAAATGGAAGGCTTAAACTGGAAAGAGAATTGAAGTTGGGGCCCTCAAACCTGTGCTTTAGGATGGACTACAAGTAGGATGTTCTTGCTCTGGTTTTCCTGTCCTGGAGTTATAATGCAAAGCAATCACTGGGGGAGAATCATGAATTACTTGAAATGCAGCTGAAGAATTGAAGGTACTTGAATTTCAGGACTGTGCAATTCAAGTGAGATGGAGGTGATGGAGGTGTCCAATACCCACCTCTGTGATGTGTTAATGAAGAGTTTGTTAGAAGTAGCGGGTGTGCAAGGTTGGAAATACTAAAAGCAACATTTAACTCCCAAATAGAATGGAAAAATGACTTACAGAGAAGGGAGTGAAATTTTCATTCTCTCTTGTGTCGTGCAGGTACTTTGATGGCAACTTGGAGAAGCTCTTTGCAGAGTGTCATGTAATTAATCCAAGTAAAAAATCTCGGACACGCCAGATGAACACGAGGTCATCAGCCCAGGATATGTCCTGTCAGATCTGCTATCTGAACTACCCAAACTCGGTGAGTACCTGACCAGCAACTCCCCAAATTTCCCATCTGAAACTTAACTTTATTCTGCAGAAAGCCTGTGAAGGTGCTGGGGCCTGGGCAGCCGTGTAGGAAAGCTCAGAAAAAAGCAAGCAGGTGATTTTTGGCAAGTTCAGATACCAGCTGAGATGTGCAAATAAATGGTACATGAAAGAAAAAATATGTGGAAAGCACGATGGGCAAAGGGATTTACTTAAATAGAGTGACAGGGCAGGAAAGAGCTTTTAAAAGTGGTGAATAATGATATAAAATAGTCAGACTGGAAAGTCTGGAGTAAAACTGAGCAGAAGTAAAATGTGACTGTCTGGATCTTCTTGTGTTTGTACAACACCCTCTCAGTGGGAGGAGATGAGGGTGGCAGTGCCTGCTGGGGCTCTGGGTCAGCCTCCTGCTTTGTGTTAGGTGGGTGATGGTGGGGCTTCTTTTTGTGGCTGTTGACAAAATGGAAGCATTCCCATACTTTAATAACACATCCAGGCTCTGCTGTGATATCCCAGGGGCAGAACATACTGGTGAGAGAGCCCAGGAGAAAAGGAGATGAGTGGAAGGGCTCAAACAGGAAGGTTCATCCATGGCTTTGCCAAAAGGCAGGATGACACAGTGAGGAATTGTTCCTTGGTTGGAACCTGCCATTGCTGGGGGAGCTGTCCTGCCCCTCCAAAACACCCTAAACCACGTGCCTGACCTTTCCAGACAAAAGGCTTCACTCTGCTCTGGGTGGGATGGGAACCACGATGAGTTTGGGGCTCACGAGCAGCCTGGGGTGAAGCCCCCTGGTTGCTCTGGATCAGGCAGAGCTGAGCAGAGCCCAGTTTCAGGCCTCACGTTCTCAGCCTTAAAGGTCACTGTTGGTCTTGAGTCAGGAACCACAAGGCTTCATGTGTCTCCTCTTAAGCCTTGTGTGCACTGACCTGCCTTTTGGAGAGTAGTTGGAAAGGTGAGTTGTTGCTTGCCTGGTATAAAAAGATGCTTTGAAAACAAAGACCAGCTTGAGAAATTTGTTTGGCCTTCTACCTTATGCTAAAATCCTGCTTAAACACTGCAGGCTTTCCATGTTAGGTAATAAGGAAAT